GTTTTGTTACCACGGCCCGTTAGAGCATCCTGGGGCTTAGGGTGGGTCCTTCCAGGCCACAAAGCCTGTTCGAAGCGCGTCCACCTCCCAGCATCTCTGGGTGTGTGCAAAGGCACCTATTTTCAGCGTGTGTGTCTCCCTCCCACAAGCATTTTCTAGAAAGGAGTAAGTGAGTGCACGAACCCAGCGCATTCGGCCCCCTGCAGTACCCCCTTCTGCCCTATTTTGTTTTCATTCCAGGGAGTCGGGGGAAGGTCCAGGATTGCTGAGCCTAGTTGCCTTTAGATTTGAGAGCGTGATGGTGCAGCACAATGAATGGCTGGCTCTGGACTGACGAAGATGAAGTATCACAGAGATGCAAAGAGAGACAAAAAGATAAACAGCTGGTGGCTGGGAGGGGGCACCGCGGCTCCCTCTCCTCTCCAGGATTGACTGCGCCATTATTTGTTCATGTCAAGATGGGAGTCGGTGTTCCCCGCTGATACCGCGGGTTACAAAGCACCTTCCCGGAGAGCATCTCATTTAATCTCTGCCGCCGCCGAGACAGGCGGACAGCTCGCTGCTCCACAGCCGGGACCTCTGCGTGGGGCATCTTGCTCAGGGCACACTCAGCAGGGTCTGGGGATGCTTTAGGTTGCCAGGCTGCGGGTGGGGGCGTGCGGCGTCTGGAGCGTGGAGGTCAGGAACCTGCCAAAAGTCCTGCATCGTCCAGGCAGCCCCCTCCCTCCAAGAAGCAGGGTCCGGCTGAAGCTGTCAGTGGAGGGCGGTTGAGAGCTGGCCTGCAGAGAAGACACCAAGGCGCAGAGGGCTGGGCTGATGGGGTGTGTGTGCCGCGTGCGTGGCAAATTGCACCTGAAAAATATCCCTTCATTTCACAACCAGAGGGTCTGTGATTTTTTTTTTTTATAAAGAAGTGACATGGTTTGTGTTAATTGTGAGATGACATCCTTTGCAGAGCCATTGCACGAACAGATGATGGCAAAGGCCCCTGTTGACTCAGCCTTCTCCTCAGCCGCACCCCTAGTCCTGGACACACGGCCTGGCCACCCCTGCCCATCCCACACAGTGAGACCCAGGCCCCTCCTGGCATCCTCAGGGATCCCAGACTTTCTCTGGAGCCATCCTGTTTTTCTGGGGGGGCAGGGCGGGAGGTTTTCTGCAGGGACTTTGGGGAGGGGAGCTGGTTTCCAGCTCAGCAGTCACTTCACCCCGGCAAGAGTCTGGACTCCAAGTGAAACTGTCTGTGAAAAAAAAACTTGTGGGAAATTTGGGGTTCAGGCCACCATGATCACGCCTAAGGGGGATGAAGACACCCGACATCGCCCCTACTTTTTATTTTACTATTAACTTGTTGGTGTTTACCTGTCTGTATAACTTGGGTTTAAGTCTTTGCACCTCCACGGTGGGCACGTGCTGCAGTGGACTCAGGGACTGGCCCTCTGTGATGATGGGGTCACAGTTTGACTCCTCCCTCTGTGTGTGTGTGTGTGTGTTGGGGGGGGGTGAGGTATCTGGCCTGATCCCCTTCACTTCTTTCCCCTGATTTTTCCCTCTAGACTTTTGTGATTTACACTCACCAAGTTTGGGTGTCACTTGCCGGGCCCTCAACATATCTAGAATTTGTTTACCCCAGATCTCTGCCTCCTGATCCGGTCCTGTCCACAAGGTCTCAGATATATGTCCTCTCCCCAAAGGGTCCCTCTGGGGCCCCCAGCCAAAGGTGGTCGCTGGCCTGGCACTATAGCGCTGATGTTCAGTTTTGCTGAAGCCCTTGTCACTGTGTGAATGCCTTAGTGACTGTTCCTTGTGTGGGTGCCTATTTGCTCTCTGGAGCTCCCCAGCTTTGCCACAGGAGCGCAAGGCCCTTAATATTGGGACTTTTCTGTCTTATTTCTTGCTGTGTCCCTGTGCCTGGCACATACTGGCCCATGGCAGTTGCTTAGTTAATGTCTTTGAATGAAGTAATGGCCGTGCCTGGCTGCTGCACGTGTGAACACGTTGTGGGGAACAAGTTACCTCATGCCCCAGCAGGACAGCACAGTGTCTCCGCTTATTGCAGTTGTGGTCACTTACTGCTGGGGACCAACTCACTGTGGAGGGTCGAGGGATTTGTAGGGGGGCCCGGTTACTGTCTCCCTGCTGGCTTGTCTTCCCTAGCCTGTGGGGGTGATGCCAAGGGCTCCAGGATTCTTGTTCAAGCTGTCCGAACCGACGATAATCTTACCTGGCCTGGGATGGTTGCAGAGCAGCGCTCCCCTCAACACTTTGGGGTGTTTCCTGGCATTAGCTCATTTGTCCTTTTGGAAACCTTCCTCAAAATATGATTCTGGTGATCTTTATCTGGGAGCACAGAACCAGCATTACCAGCTGTGGGGTGACGACATGGGAGGTCATTTGGAGGCAGCTGGGGGTTCCGTTCTAACCCATAAATCCTAGACACACCATTTACAAACTCTGTGGAATCAAGTTGTTTCCCTTCTCACAGCTTCTGCATCTTCATTTGTAAAATGAGGAGAATAATGCTTATCCCAAAGCATTTCCATGAGATAATGAGGTGGTCGTGCCAGATGATTAGTCCAGTGCTGAGGACATGGGAAACATCCTGTAAATAAATGCACCGTAATTGTAAGTGGCATTAGGTTGGCAAAGTAGGCAGCTCGTGGTTTCTGTAACGTGGTTTTAGAGGTCTTGGTAACGTCTTTTTTTGTCCAGAAACAGTGGGTTGTCGGAAAAGTCATGACATATTTTTTCTGTTTTCAAGCAAAAATCGTCAGGACTTTTCCAACAACCCAATGTCTTCTGAGTCCCCCTGAAAGGACCACCTCGCCATCCTGCCCACAGGTGAGACTCATGGTCCTTGTGAGCTTTAGGAGGGTTCTTGACGGGGGTGCTGTAGGTGGGACATATGGGGGTGAGTGCAGAGCGGAGCTTTTGGTGGGGTCCGCCTTTGAGCTCAGCCAGTGTTTGGGCTGTGATTGTCAGGTTGGGGAAGAGGGCAGTAAAAATGGTAGAACATAAGAGGGTAAAATGGAGGGGAACACAACTCAGAGTTCATGGATTTGCCAAAGAAACCGGCAAGAAAAGATCTTCAGCTAGAGAGTTGGAGTGGAGGTGTGTGTCTGGGGGAGCACCAAGAGCACCTTTAAGATGCGGTGGGGCTTGGGAGTGAGGGGTTCACATGAAATGCCCTAAGAACCTCTGTCCGTCCATCCCATCCCTGCCCTCCAGCCAGTTCACGATATGCCAATCTTCTTAGGGAATTAAAAAAGGAAATGAAGCAATGGGTACATTTGCCCCCAAGATCTTCAGAGCAAGCCATTATGTACAGACCCAAGTGAATAGCATTGGTCTGTTTAGAAGAGGGTTGGGGTCCTGGAGCCCTGTCCAGACCACACACCCTGAGCTCCCCCTAAACGTAATTGAAACCCCGCACCTCCATGCTGTTTGCCTGCCTCTGGGAAGCAGCATCTTTCTCTCAGATCGCTGGTGCCAGGACCCCTCATTTTATTCTCTGCCTCTTCCCACATTTGCTTTTCCTCAGCCTGATGAATCTCCTCTTGTTGGGTGTTGGATGTGTATTGACTTTTGCAAAACTCCTCAAGCCATCCTCGGAGAAAGATTGGCTGATGCGCGTGTGTGGGTGGGTTGGGGGGGGAGCTATTTTAGATGTTAGTAAACATGACAGCTTGTTGAGGATTAACAGGAAATCAGGAATAAAATCATTGGGATTTGGTAAGGGATTTTGCTCTCGGACAATTAAAGATTTTTCCCCCCATCAAAAAACCCCTTTCTCCCCACAAAGAGTTAGTGGCTGAAGGTTATTACGATAACACACGCTTAAAATAGATAAAAGACAGAAGTTCCTAACCTCCCACTGCCCGCGGGGCCTCTCTGGGCTGTTTCTGCCATCCTGGCATCTTTTTACTGGCGATACTTTCCTTTAATATGTCCTACTTAATCCTCCATTTCCTCTTAAACACCAGATATTGGGTAAGCTGCAACCTCATTTAGAAAGTGAAGAAATCTAGTGCTTTCTGGTCAGCACCAGCCAAGGAGAGAAGTATTTTTGATGCAAGAGAATAATTCATTAAAGGAGGTAATGAAGGTGATTTAGACCTTCCACAAACATAGCGCTGGGGCAGGTGAAACTTAAAACCCTCTTGGCTCAGGGTCATCGGTGAATGAAATGTTGTAAGAAGCAAAAAAAAAAAAAAAAAAAAAAGAAAAAGAAAACAAACCCACCTGCAAGAACGGGGCCTGAGTCCCAACCTCAACCTTCCAGTTCGCTCGTCCCAAATGAAAATATCCCAAGTCCGCTGAGATCCGTGAAAGAAGGTAGAGTGGATCGCTCACTCTGTCTCCCACGCATGTTACTGTCATTTTTTTCTGAACTCTCTGGGAGTAAGTTATAGACATTGACATATCCTTATTGCCAATTTCCTAAAAACAAGGATCCTCTCTTACATAACCACAGTTGATCAAAATCTAAAAATACATGTGGATCCAATACTATTGGTTAATCTGCAGGCTTTATTCAATTTTTACCAATTACTGATGCCTTTTGGAGCACAAAAAATAAAGCCAATGAAAGCACCATTTTCCGAGCCAGGATTTAAGTTATAATTGTATATCGTGCTTACGCGTCAGATGTGGTGACTCTCCATTAGTTTAGTTCTTCAGGTTTTTTTTTGCCCCTCGTGCCCTGGACATTTCTGAAGAGCATAGATCACTGCTTTGTAGTGTGTTCCTCCTCCTGGGCTTGCTGCTTTTCCTCGGGGTTGAACTCAGGTTGTGCATTTCTGGCAGGAAGACTCGTGTGTCTTCCTCAGGTCTGCTGATGTTGCCTTTGGCTCCGCCATTAAGCTGACTGCCGCTTTCCCCACTGGCAAGTTACTACTGTTCTTCCCTTTGTGATCAAGAAGAATCCCACGGGGGCGACCCGGGCACTCGGGGCAGCCCTGGGGGCCTGCGGTTGACCTACCTTTTCCCGCTGGTTTCAGAGTCGAACAGGCGCCGGGCGGTGAACAGGGGCTACGTGGCCCACCTTCTGCGGCTGCACCAGGACTGGCACAGCCACGACTTGGCCAGCGCCCACCTGCCCATCCGCCGGGCACTGCTGCTCTGCCTGCGGCATGTGGTCTCCCTCCGGTCGGGCAGGGAGGCCTTCCAGGTGGCCCACGGCATGGAGCTTCTCTTCCGGACCACACAGGTAAGCGGCACGGGCGCCTGTGCAGTGAGGGCATCCGGATGGCCCCAGCAGTCCTGGACAGCACTGGGGAAATCTCGCTGTGCTTTTTGCTTATTGTGGGCAGACGTTATGGATTCAAATCCTCATTCATCTTTGCTCTCCTGCCTGACTGAATTATGGACCCAGCCCTGTCTATATTGTATCCAGCCCCAGCCCTCACACCTTCAGACGTGAGCATTTGGAGAAGGCCAGCAAATCCCCAGGGCCTTAGGTTGCGTTTCTTTTGAAAAGATGCAGATAATAAGATACGGGCAGTGTGGGGACTAACCCTGTTCGTGTAGGATGCCCTGTGCTTGGAAGGACGCTTGGCTGACCTGAGTGCCTTGGGGGTGTGAGTAGGTTGGAGATGCTTGGTGGAATCCTGTGGTAACTGTCACAGACAAGACTCCGGATCTAGTGGGACAAACCTTCAAGCAAAAGACAGACATTTAGGGAATCAGAGACTTCCCCGAGAAAGACAGAAAGATGTTCTGTTGTTCCGTGAAATCAACCAATGAGGGGGCAGCCCTGTAGGGCTTCCTGGAGCTGAGGGCCAGGTCTTCTCTGAGCAAGTGGCCCTTGAGCTGAGAACTGAGTGAATGAGCTGGGTCCGGGGGAAGAGGGATCGGGGGTGTGGGGAGAGCATTCCTGGCAAAGGGGACGGACCTGCAGGGGCTGTTACTTATCTGCACCCCAGTGGCCTAGGGTTTTCTGAATTTTAACCCAGATAACAGTTTCACTGTTTCAATTTCACTTGATTAACGTTAATTTAAAGTCCATCTCGTCAGGCTCTGTAACCCATCGATGACGTGAATCTCTGTCATCCGCTCGCCGGCCTCCTGCTGTGGTCCTCTGAGTGGGCCTTTGCACCCCCGCTCCCCATCAGACTCGTGGCTTCTCTCTGAATATCCTCTGATTTGTCTCTGCCTGAGTGCATCTGAGATAATGAAGCAGTCAGCAAAAGTGCTGGTTTCCTACCAAGGTATCTGTAGCCTTCTCCCGTTTAAAAAAAAAAAAAAAATAGCCTTTTTTTCACACCTCTAAACAACAACATATTACGGTGCTGTAAACCAATATCTAATTTTCTGTCTGCTCTCACTTCTGGTTTTGTGCCATCATTATAGTTTTCAAAGCTTCTCAGTCATGAAATAGCTGCATTTTATATTCTGTTTCTCTGGATGAAGCGGTGCTCTGAATTTCCCCAAGCCTCCCCATTTCTAAGCGCGTGTCCTGCTGCTGGCCTCTCCCAGGCCTCCACTCTGGCACCTGTGTCTCAGCCAGTCCCTCTGCCCCCTGCATTCTCGGTGCTTTCTCAGCTCAGGGTTTTACAAAACACTTGAAGGGGCAGGAAAGGAAGAAGATGGTGACTCCAGAGATGAATGTCTATGGTCGCCAGAGGCTGCCAAAGGCAGCGCGGTAGAGAGGACTGGGCTAGTGGCAGGGTCACAGGGGAGGCTCCCCTGCAGGTCAGCGAGGGCTGCTGTTCGGTGCATCATGTCCAGCACAAGCTCCCAGGCCGCACTTGCTGCTGGGAAGGGAAAAGGGATGTCAATGGAGGCAGAACCTGTACTTGGGGGGCCAGGTGTCGCTGCCCGAGCAGCCCCCCAGCATCCGGGGGGTGCTTCATGCACAGATGCCAGGAATGCTGTGCGGGGCTGGGCTGCCCGCCGCCCCCCTCCTTGCTAGCCAGAGAGGGATCCTGAGTCTCAGGATGGCCAACTTGGGAAATTTGGATCTAGGGATGCACTTCAGGGGCTGTTTCCAAATGATGATGATGGTGGTGATGAAGAGGATGATAATTAAATTGGCTAGGCCACGCAGCGCTTCCTAGACCTTAACAAACAAGGAATTTGCATCTTGTTTCTATCAGATTTTAATAAAAATAAGTAAATAAATTGTAACTGGGTTAAAAGACACAAAGTTTACTACCTGCGTTGTTTTGGGGTCACTCAGGGGTGTTAGGTGCAGTCACTCTGTTTTGCACTGAATCCTCCATGTCATGGATCGGCTCTTGGAAACTTTCTCTGGGCAAAATGTAAGAACAGCGAAATGAGAATATGCTGTAAGGATGTGACGAAGGCATCTCCTGGCATTGCATCATTTTGTTCGCCAGCACCTGGATTTTTTTCCTTGTCGCCATCACGATGAAACCGCAGTGGACGCAACGGCGTTGTTTGGGGAACTGCCGTGTAACCAGGCCCTGAGCTCCTTTCATCCTGCACAATGAACGCTCCGCACCTGTCACACTGGTTCACGACACCCGGATGGCTACTGTGTCGACAGCAGGATGTCGGAGGGCGAGTGAGAGGTCAGGGCAGTCGTTGGGCTGTGGCAGTTGGGCACCTCACTTTCCTGCCCCAGTCCTGGCTCTCAAGGCACCAGCCAGTCAGCACAGGAGGTACTGAGGAGTGAGTGAATGCTTGCAGGCATTTTTATTACCTTGGGGCCACGGACCGTCTTTAGATGCATAGATGTGTCCCCCACAGTGGAGCAGACCCCCTTATAGCATCATCCCTAGTGCCTTGGTTTCTGCAGCTCGTGATGCCCCCCTCCCCCAGATCCAGGTCCTGGGGTGGCCCAGCCTGTCGGGACACTTGAACTTGCCTCCAACCTCCCACTTGCTTTTCACGGGTCGCAGAACACACGGCCTGCAGCACGTTACCAGCCAGAACACCAGCTCTGCTGTAGGCAGGCCCGGCCGCGCAGATGCTGGCGCCTCTGGCCGAGCTCCCCGGCTTGGCCTTGGCTCTGATTCCCCTGAGGTTGTCCCTGAGAATGTTCCACGTGCCCAGCAGCCTGCCTCCCCTTTTCTCCTCTGTCTCTCTCTCTCCTATACGAATACTTTTCACTAGGCACTTGAGCCTGGTTGGCCTGTCCCCGGGGTGAAACAGCCTCAATGAATTTGCTTGCACAGAAGCTGTTTCCTGCTGTTTCAGGACATCTGCTTGGTGCCATTCGAGCAGGCAGGAGGGGGGAGGGCATTCCTAAGTGTATCAAGCCATTTCTGCAGGGAAATTGGCTTACTTTTATTATATTTTAGAGTCATCTGGGTAGCTTGAGTTCATGGCTAAAATGTAAAGAAATTTTTTTCCCTACCACCATTCCTCTGGCCCTGGGCTTTTCCCTCCTGTCCCCTCTTCAGCTCAGAGCCCTCAGCTCATGGCTACAATTAAAAAAAAATTTCCTGCATGTTCATTCCTGTGGGGCAACCTGTCACAGGGCTGACCATCCAGACCAGAGCATCACTGTGGGCAGCTTCTCAGCACCCTCCGTAGCTGCAGCTGATTGGCTCCAGAACTTACTGGAAGCCTTTTGGAAATATCAAACAGGAGGCTCACCCTAGTCCACTTTCTGCACCACGTCAGGAGATAAGACATTTACTGAGAGGCTGAAGAAAGGGGCCATGTTTTTTTTTTTTGCCAAAGAACTACTCCCAGCTCTCTCTCTCAGTTTAGTAAACTTGTTCTTACATCTTTCCCAGAGCCTGAAAAGAAGGCTCTTGTCATGTTCCATCAGTATCAAAATGTTACATCAGCAAACCCAATTTTTCTTTGCTTTGGGGAGGAGTCAAGAGGGACCTGACTGGCAGCCTTGCGAAGAAACATGCTATTTAATGTTGGTGCTTGGGATTCACTTAGCCTTCTCTTCTGATTGCCTATTTTATCTTTTTCCTTTGTGTGTTTTCTCTTTGGATAACAGCTGAAAGAGAAAAGTAAGACTTCCATCACCTTACGGCTCTTGTTTCCTGAGCCCACAGTTCACAGTGACCCACAAGGGCGCTCCGCTTCCTCCCCCAGCCCTTCCGGACAATGTCTTCCCTTAGGTGCAGTGTCCCTTAAAAGAACTTTGGTCTATGTTCAGACTAAACTTACTCCAACCACACGAACTGTAAATGAGAAGTGCTGTTGGTACACAGACCACGGCCCATCTGCATTCACCAACATCCTACATCAGCAGGTCAGATCAGCCTACACCGCGGATGCCGACCATCCACGCAGGCTGTGTGCCACCCCTCTGTGTCCTGGCTGGGACTCTGCAGGTGTCGGTGTCTGAGGTCACCTTCTCTTTGTTCAGAGCTGCCTGGATGATGCTCGCCTGGAGTCCGTCCTCTCCATCATGTTCCAGATCCTGAGGCAGTGCTGCCCTAAACGCCCCCTGCCCTTGGCCGCAGCCAGCAGTGCTTACGCCTTCCCCGTCCCGGGCAGCATCGCTTCTGAGCCTCCCCGTGTTCTCGATGAAGGTAAAGTCGGCGGGAACATCGGGCTGTGCACTCAGTGTTTGCGGGTCGGTGGTGTTTCAAAGGAATGTAGAAGTAGAATCGGTTGTTTTATAGGCCAACCGTGATTGTCCAAAAGGCTAATTAATGATCTGTATAAAAATGTAACTTTTCCATATATGGGGTAAACAAATACCAAGTACAGTTATCTTGTCCTTAATTATTAACTGTGGAAACTTCTCTTGCTGGCTAGTGAATGCCTATGTATATAGTTATCTCAGCTGATTACAAAGCAAACTCTTCCCAAGGTCCCCTGGGTGAGTCCCCCACTATCCTGAATGGTTCTGGAATAAATTTGCTTTAAGGATAAAATACAAATAAAACTTTTGTTCTTTACCACCCCAGGCTAGTCCTGCTGGAATATTTAAAATGTTGACCCAATTGCCAAGCTTTTGTTGTGAAAAGGCTCTAGTGCTTTCATATCCTTCTTCCTTCCCTTGGCCACATTTCCAGCGGCATCATCTTGCTGCCGTGGCACTGGATGTTTTCTGTGGACTGTTGTTTTATTTCATTTATTTACTTTAGTCTGCTCTGAGCGTATTTTAATTTTATTTTTTAAATTTACATACACTGTTGTTCATTTTTGTACAGTATTTGATTTCTCCCCTGAGCTAGAGTCCTCATAAATTTCCCAGCACCACATCACCTGTGAAGTGTCACCATTGTGCACTGTTTTAAATACATTCCTTCATATCAAAATTAGAGAATTAGTCAAAGTGCTAAGTTGCAACAAATCTTGCATCTCTGGGATCTCCACGCTCCGGCAATATTAATTGTGAAAATGCTTCCAGATTGACTGGGCGAAGCCAGAATAGTTTTCACATGTCACCTGATTCTGCAAACTCATATTCCATTCAACACGGGACAAGTTCAGACTTCATGATGGAGTGCTTTTACGTGTCTGTGTGTGCGTGATTTATGCATACCAATAAACATGTTACATGTGCCAACATGTATGCTTCCAATAAACATCAGCATGTGTTGTGATGCTGTGCACTTGCTAACGAGCCTCTTAGGAGAGAAAGAAGTACTAACTGTTGGGTGGTGAGAATCCAATTCCAAGGCAGAGGGGAACCTCACCCATTGACCTCTTTTTTCCCCCACACCCAGAGGATTGTGAAGATGATGATGATGAAGAAATGGACAGAGACTCAGATTCTGAAGATGTGAAAGAGGAAGTAGGTAGACCAGCTCTCTCTCGTAGTGATCTCCACATTCCTGTTTTACAAGGAAAGATGCCACTTGCTGTGTTGCACAAAGGCCCTACTTTTTTTTTTTACTTCCACTTCGGTGCGGGCAGATAGCGAGGCTCTCTAAATGACAGCTACTGTTATTGATTTTCCAGTTGTCATTTTCATCTCGGTAGGCCCAGTACAATGTCGCATTGTAAAATCAGAGGCTGTCCATTACGAAGACATTAATATTCTATCAGGGTGTGCCTTAGGGAGACACTTGATGCTTAGGGTTGGGATATTTAATAAGTGTGAAAGAGACAGTGGACGCTTTTTTAGGAAACTTTCTGGTAGAGCTCACCTATCTCTGTCACCCTTCTGACTTACGTCCTCTGCACAGGATCACAGTTTTGCAGGGTTCTCTCCTTTGAGCTGTGAGGGAGCTTACTCTGGCCTGCAGGGGGCTGGTGCCCTCTCGTCTTGACCCCGTGATGACCGATGCTGTAGAACAGAGGTCAGTAAACTTGCTAGAAAAGGTCAGACAGTGATTGGCCAGGCTTTGTGGACTGTACCGTCGCTGTCACAACCACTCACCTTTGTTGGTCAGCACAACACTGGCCATGGACAACTGTATAAGAGAGGGCGTGGCTGTCATCTGATAAAACTTTATTTGCAAAGACAGGCAGCTGGACATAGTTTAGTGAGCAGTTTTCCAGAACTCTTGGCACACTGGACCGGATAATTCTTTGTTGTAGATGGGGGTGTCCTGTGCATTGTAGGGAATGAAGTGGCATCCCTGGCTTCTACCCACTAGATGCCAGGGGCACTAGATGACCCCCCCACCTTTGTCCTTCAGTCATGGACCAAAAATATCAAATTACCAACGGTTTCTGGGGCACAGAAGCACCCCTGCTTGAGAATATTGATAATTTGTGTATGAAGTACAGTTCGGTCTCCTTTTCTTTTTGTGAATGTGGACTTGAACAAGCCCCTTAAAGTTATTGTTCCTTACTTTTGTGCAAAATAGAACTGAGATGTAAATGTTACTGTTTTTAACATGCTGGAGATAAAACCTGAATTAAAAAAATTCATTGTCTATATATGTGTGTAAGTGTGTGTCATCTGTCTGTCTGTCTATCTGTCTTTCTTTCTCCATCCCCCTCCTTCCTCCCTTCCTCCTTCCTTTCCTTCCTCCTATCCTTAATTCTCAGCCACCCTTCTACCTACCTGTATAGATAGAAAAAGACTTTTGAATTCTCTATCATAATAATCACCTTGCTGATGGTAGCAGCAGACACAGAGGGACTGCTGAGCTCGATCTCTAGGTCATGACTGCTATTGACACTCTGGTGTTCTCAGAGTTTTGTTGATAAATAAAATCATTTCTGAAGTCATCAGTCGCAAATTGGTTCTTTGCTGTGACTTGGCGGTGCTGGCCTACGAAGTCCTTGCTGAGTTATCTGAATAATACTGTGCTGCTGCAGTCATTCATCAATGCCACTTCCTGCCCCTCTTGCTTGCTCTTTGATAATGGAATGTCTGATGTAGAGTGTCAGTCGCCTCTGGTATCTGATGTGGAGGGACAGGCTGCACACCAGCGCCTCACATCACACAGCTTCGGGGCGGGGGACAGCTTGAAGGTACTGTCCCCTAGTCCCCACTCTGCAGATGGTGGTGGGATAGGGTTGAATGTAGCCTAAACAAATAAGCAAACCCCGCTGGGGAAAGAAACATAAGACAAATTGGTGAGGGCCTGGAAACTATTCATCAAAGGCCTTCAAGACAAGGAGAAGACAGGAAGTCAGCGTGTGAGTGGTAGAAAAACAGAGAGCCGTGGGGATCAGGGCTTCCCTGGGGATGACTGGTGTTCCAGCGAACAGGTTGTCCTGGTAACCCAGCTGCCTTTGCTGCAAGAGATGTGGGCAAGGTGTCAGGAGTATTTGTTCCTGCTTACAGACTAACCCAGGCCTCGAACTTGGTGGTCTTTGCATTTGAAAGTTTACTCAGCATTCAAAAAAGATAAACTCATGCCATTTGCAGCAACATGGATGGAGCTGGAAGGGATCATGCTCAGCGAAATAAGCCAGAAAGAACAAGAAAAATACCGGATGGTCTCACTCATAGCAGGAATTTAGAAAAACTAAATAAGGGACCAGGAAAAATACTCATTATAATAAAGTAAAAACCAGGGGGTGAGACTTGTATGGGGACTACAACCAAGGTGAAAATGCATACATTGTGCAAAAATGAAAAATGATGTAAAAAATATATAAAAAAATAAAAAAAATTAAAAAAATTAAAATAAAAAAATAATTGGGACCAGCTTCTTAGAATGATTAAAGGAACTTTTATCTGTTGAGGGTCTTGCATGTGCAAAGTCAGGTGCTGTTCTTTGATGGAAAACTGTCACGTTAACACAAGGAGAGAGAAACTTCCGGCAGGTTGAGGGGGTGTTGGCCATGTTTTTGCCATCTTGAACACAACCATCGACTTTGAAGAAAGTCCAAAGGAGAGGTGGATGAGCAGTGAAGTCAGTCTTCAGTCCGCTCCTCTCTCCTTTCTTTCCTTTGATTTAAATTTTCTCTCGGGTACTCTTTTTTTCAGGCACTTTGGACGTGACGCAGCACATGTGAGGCAGCAGACTGATTAGACAGCCTGGCATCCCACAGGATGCTCATGTGACACAGAAACAAGAAGACATCGTTTTTATCTTTAGATTGTTCACCAGCTGCTTAATTTGGAATTGTCCCTGCCAGGGTTCAAATCCCACCTTCAAAAGGCCAGTGAACTTGAGTCTAAGATTGTGAAAAATCAATATTTGAGGGAGGAGGAAGGGCCAGAAAATTACTTAAATTACATGGACACCAGCATCCCAGACTGGATAACTGTGAGGACTCAGAAGTTGAGCAGTTCTTAAATAAATGTATTTATAAGAAATGCGGAAGGAGCCGAGTACCCACCTGCTACCTGGAGATTCAGAGAACAAGATGCAAATCGTTGGGGACCATACTTGGCTTCTATTACAATGACTCCACCTTGCTGTACTGAGAAAGCATCATGGCTGAAGCAGATAAAGGAGGGGGCATGGCTGTTGCTAATAGTACTTTATTTATAAAAACAGTGGGTCTCCATTGGCCTACCTGGCTCCAAAAGTCAAATAAGTCACCCAGCCACATGTAGAATGGGTTAGGCCCCAGCTCACAGGTCCCCTGGCACTTCTTACTCCAGACTCAGCAGCCACTGGTGGGGAGACTTCCCAGTGTCTGCCAGATTGTGCTTCCATTGGCACCACCCTGAGGCGTGGCTGGCATTGCAACAGAGAAGGTAGAGCTAAGCAGGAACTAAAAGATGAAGCTGGAAGGGACTAGAGTCTCCATTGCCGGGCGAAGGAGTTTGGACCTGGTAGGCCCTGTATCTGAAAATATCATTACAGCAACCTCCTCGGATTTTCTTTCAATGTGAAGCTTGGAAGAAAATTGCCCGAGATGGAGGGAATATTACCTTTTCTTTTTCCTCTGGATCAAGAATATAAACATTTATTTTCCCCATTTATTTGATTTAGGGAAGAGTAATCCAGACTTTCAGGACTGCCACTTCAGGTTTTTCCTTAACTAACCAAATCTATACCTAAAACTTAGGGTAGATTTTCCCCAGTATGCAAGGAAACTTGATCTAGGAGAGACAGACGAAGACAAAGAGGCAGAGCTGGTTCATTCTCGGCGTCTTGTCTTTGTAAGATTCTTTAACCTTTGGAAACTACAGAAGTGTTGAGCGAAAGCTCACTGTCACCATTAAGCTGTTATAAAATGATGGTCTAGAAGAAAAAGTGAAGGACCTGGGATTATTATACACAGTGAAAAAAAGACTGATGGTGACTTGGCAAACTTTTACGTGAACAGAGGGAAAAAAGATCCAGCAGGAGGCTACACGCTCCTCTCCAGGCACAATCCTGTGTCTGGGGTCTTGTCTCCTGCCACCGCCTCTTAGTGCTTCAGCCATCTTCTTCTTGTCAGCAGATGCAAGCTGCTCCTTCTAGCAGTAACCCTTGCCCACGTGTTCGCACACCTGGCTGCTACTGTCATTAGTCTAGTCAACATCTTCCGTCCTCGGAGATCAGACCACCCCACCTAAACAGCGGCCTGTGCCCAGTCTCAGCCACCATCACGTCACCCCCTTTCAGTATTTCCGTGGCAGTTATTCATTTTCTGTCTCCCTTCTCTCACTAGAGGGCAAACTCATGAGAGAAAGTGCCTTTACTTGTTCCATCATCACTATATCCAGAGAACCTGCACATCCTAGGTGCTCATTTAGTGTTTGTGATGAGAGCGAAGGATCTAAATAGGAAAGGTAGATGGATGAATAGGCACCATAATTATAATTACGTCGCTGATAATGTGATGAGATAAAGTAATGTCTTTCATATGATTCTTTATTATTTATAAAGATCATCTCATTTTATATAAATTAAAATTTATTCGGAGGGCTGAGAAGTCCTGACATAAATGCTGAGCACAGTTCTGTGTGTCTTCCTTCTTTTTATTTCAAAAATCCAACCTGACACACTGGGCTCTCCTGTGTGTGGCCAGCATGATCCTTGGGGGCGAGTGTGCCCCCAGGTCCTGAGAGTCATGTAGGCAGGGCCTGTCTTCAGGGCCTTTCTTGCCTGCAGTGTTTCTCCAATGTTCCATTGCAGGATGATGACTTGGAAACAGATGTGAACAAGCTGCGTTCCTACCCCGGTCTTGACCGACCTGAAGAGGAATTGAAGCAATATGGAGCAATGTGTCTTGAGCTTTCCTGTAGCTTTGAGGTAGGACATCTGCCGTGGTTCTGCGTCTTGGTGATACATGATGGCTTTTTGCAGCACCTGGAAGCCAAACTGAGGTCTCCAGAGGGAATGTGTTGCTCATCAATAGCAATCTGCTTCTGAACTTCTGAAAGAGAAGTAGGAGGCCAAGCAAAAATGTTACCGTACGTGCAAGGTCCAAAAATCTGACAGCCAGCACTTAGGATGGAGGTAGGATGAAGGTCCACACCGCCCCCTGTTGGCTGGTGGGCAAGTGCCCGGTGCCCATATGCCAAAAAAACACAAAGATTCTTGATTTCATTGTTCACTTGTCAAATGGGAGCTGTACCCATGGCTTTCCAAAGGCGGCCAGCCTGATTCCAGGGCTTCTGTATTAGTAGAAACAAATTGAGATGCTAACACCTGGTGTATGGTGTAAGACCAAGGTTTTAGACTTGTCTTTTGACCCTCATTACTTTCTTACGACTCTCCATAAATAGTGGATTTGGCCATGGCTTACGGTTCAAGCTAAGTCACATGGAGAAAGGAGGTGATATATTCTATTTCACTCTGGAAGGCAGAAAGGGATCTGTGGGTTAAAGTCTCAAGGAAGGACATTTCAATGCTGTGTATGGAAGACTTCTTTTTAAACAGTCAGAATGAGCCTCCAATGCAAGGCACCAACTCAGAGTGTGGTGAAGCCCCGATAAAAGAGGTTGTTCAACCAGTCTATGGCTTAAAGGGTACTAAGGAGGGTTCCATGCATGCATCGCATTGTACGGGGCCAACAAACAACCCTTTCCAATGTGAGTTTCTATGGTTTTGCCATTTATTTGATTATTGAAACTACATCTTCCCCTGATTGACCTTGAGAAAGGTGCCCAGTTCACAGGATTTATGCAGAGCTCAGTGCCCAGAAAGTGAGAGTAGGGTTCAAGGTGTGCTCCTCCCTGGAGGAGACTAACAGGTTCTTTTCTGCTTTAAACCTGCAGGAATTGGAGCCCAGCCTTGGCGATGATTTGAAGGTTGGAGAGACTCAGCATGTCAATCACCAGCACATTCCGACTGTTGCCTCCCCCATGCAGCAGTGCCTGACCACGGACCAAAGCTCCTGGGGGCAAGAAAGAAGAGACACAGTCCACACTTCCCTTCTGAGCAGGGCGAAGGTGGGGTGGTCCACTGTGCACCAAGCCTCCACAAAGCGACCTGTCATGAGCCCATGCCGAAATGCACAGCCCAATGGTCTTGGGGTAGATCCTTCTGGAAATGAAACCCCTGACATTTGGACTTCCCTCCAAGAGGATGCTTGGGACATAGATGAGACTTTCTGCCCAAGGATTAGTGCCTCCTTTTCCAAGGGAGAAAAAGGAGTTTCCTTCACTAGGTCTGGAGAAGGTGCCGAAGCGATCGATGAACTTCTGAAGACGCATCCTACGCCCATCCCCTTCCACGATCCCTGTCTTTATATGGCCAATGCTCGAAGAACCAGGTCCGTGGCTGACTTCACGACGCTGGCATTTCCCGATCTCTGGGGACACTGTCCACCTCCCTCTGCCCAGTCTATGTTGGAACGTAAATACGGAGTGCAAAGGTGATGGTGCTACTGATTTGGAAGTTATATATTTTCTCTTTCCTAATAATTTTATAGGTGGGATGTTTTTCTACAAATAGTTCTGTTATCTGTGGGAAAGCGGACATCAGTCAGGACACATTAGAGAGCTTTTGGCAATGTTTGCCAAATACAGACATTTGTCTCCCTACCGGGATTTTTTACGAAGCAAGTGTGGGGTAGTGGCAGGCATGTGTTTCCAAAAATGAATTCCTTGGGGGGTTCCGGTGCGTTCCTTTGGTCCATGTCCTTTGCAAATGACTGTGTCAGGTGAGATAATCCAGTGCCTCCCAATACTGGGATCATTCCTCAAGGGAGGAGTCTCAGGAACAAATGAGGATGGATTATGTGGGATGGCTTCTTCACTGCAACTTGCTGTCTGATCTCTTGTTAATGAGGGGAAGTGATTTACCTTCACCCCAGTCACAGCCATACAGAATCTGGTTGGCTGGCAGACGAGTCTTACTGCCTCACTGAGAACTGGATGGAAATAGTGCATTCTCCAGGGAAGAAATGCTGGGTGACGGATTATTCCCAGAAAGCAGGAAAGGGCGATTTGCCTCTTTATCAGCATAGTGAGGGTAAAACAAAGATTTCTAAAGCCAAGGGAAAAATTACTTTCCCTGGAAAAAAAAAAAATGAGTGTGCATACATAAGCCGCTGGAGCGAAGTGTGATGTTGGAAAGTTTCATTAACTTGAAGGTGTTCCAGTTCATCAGTAAATTGATAGTGCACCCCAGGACTGCTCCTGGGGCTCCTGGCTGACCTCTCTGACCTCACCCCTGCACATTATCTGTCCTGGTGAAGTTGCTAAGAGCCCCTCGACGGGGTCCACCCAGCACAGGCTCCCCCTGGAAAGAACATCTTCCCCGAGTCCACACCACATGTCTACCTGTTCCTCTCCCTTATTCCACCCCAACCACAAAGACCTGGACTGAACTTTCAAGGAGGGAATCGGACAGAGCCCCAGGATTCCCCCCCTCCCTTTTACGTAGATCTCCCAGATATTGGTGTTTCTCTGATAATAGATTGACCTTATGCCTTAGGGCTAGAGGCCCAGAAGTGACATGAGAGGCTGAAGGCTTTGGGAGCCTTCCAGATCTTGAGCTAATAGTCAGCAGTCCTCACGCCTCCCTCAAAGCCGTCTCAGCACCAAGCACCCCTTAGTCTCACAACCAGACACTTTCAATCCCTGAGCCCAAATGCTCTTGACAAAACTCTTCTTCTAGTCAAGAATCCTCTTACTAAAATTCAGTTTCGTCCCTCCTGCGCAGTGTGGTTTTATTTGTTGATCAAGAAGAGAAGGAAGGAGAGGCAGTGCTGTTTGTGTCCTTGCCACTCCAGGTGGGGGCATTATTAAACTTCCCTTCATGTGTTCCTTATGATTCTGAAGGCCCTCTGAAGAGCAGAGGCTGCAGGGGCGCGGAGGAAGGGCTGGCCCTTAAAATGCTTCCCATTCTCCTTTCTAGGATCAAGATATTGGAGGATGTCCGGAGGCTAATCCAGCCAAGCGATGTTATAAATAAAGTGGTTTTCAGCCTAGATGAGCCTCGGTAGGTGGTCTTGCACGTCCTGGCATTGGGGTAGGGGTGGGAGGGAACACGGGTGTATTCTGTTAATGACATGAGAACAGGGGCATCTTATATTAGCCATCCGTTCTTCCTCCTAAAGACCTGTAAGGGTTAAAGATCTGCAAGGAATTCTTACATCTAAACATGCCAGAATGTGCTCAAGAATAGCCATGACTCCTGCGTTCATGTCTCCTGTTTCCTGACAGGCCCCTGCAGGACTCCTCTTGCGACTGCTTGCGGTTCTTCTCCAAGTTCGAGTCAGGAAATCTCCGCAAAGCCATCCGTGTGCGTGAGTAAGTAAGGACTACACAGGGGCAGCTCCTGGAAGCTCAAGGGGGCAGGTCACCAGTGTGACCTCTCCTTGGCACCTTGAAATCAGCCCTAGTGGGAGTGTTTCTATCATGCATACGGGCAGACCCTGCTGTGACCTTGTCTCCTCTGCAAGCACTTCCCAGGGGGCCCCTAGGGGGTGGGCTAGCTGGCCGAAGAGCAAGTAGCCACTAGAGGAGACTGCTCATCAAGGCGCCTGAGGCTTCAAATAATGGGTGTGTTTTCTGTGCGAGCACTTTACTGAGAACAAGTTTAGTGTTTACTTTCTGTTGACTCTGCGTTGGTTCTCAGGGGCTACTCAGGCCTCCCTCTTCCTGTACCTTTCCATACCCATTGCTCCTGCAGCTGTGTACTTAGGAGGCAAAAACCTTGGGCTCTCCAGGGTGAGGTCAGCCATCTTTCATTGGGGGGGGGTGCTGATGCCTGCCCTCCCAAGAACCTGCCAGCCAGCATTAATGAGCAGAAAAGGTTCTGTAGGCCAGGAAAATCTAGTGTGTACAGACTGGAAGGGTGGAGATGAAACAAAATTGCCAGAGGCACAAGAGACATAGTTCTTGCTAAGTTACACTTCTTTCTGCTATGGCAGTAGAAAGAAATAAAATTAAAAGAAAAGAAAAAAGAAGCAATGTTTTTTTTTTTTTTATTGGCACAATGAGATAGAGTTTTGAAGAAATTATAACCAACTGTTCTTGAAGAACTTCAAATGGTTACTGTTATGATAATAAGGATTTTTTTTTTTAAATCCTAGTAACATCTTGGGGTAAATATATTGCCTGTGCCACAGTGTTTAGTAACGGAATTTGAACACTGCTGCACAAATAAAGAATTACAAAAGCACATTAACAACAATAACAAAAAAGGGGCAAAGGGTGTTGCTGTTTATCAAGAGTCAAAGTATAAAATTGATCTTTCATGGGTGAACTTTTGGAAAGGAAGGCCTGGAACAGGCAGTGGGGTGTGGTCAGGGAATATGGGATCAGACACTCAGGGTAACTTGGCCCTTTTTCAACTAGGGACTTTGAGCAAGTTTTCTCACTAATTTGCATTCCTTTATTTCCTCCCCCACAAGATGGGGACAGTGGTAGCACCATGCCAGAGGGGTTTTTGGAAGTATTCAATTGCACACATGAAGCTCTTAGAACATTACCTGGCACCTGGCAAGCAGTCAATCAACAAGCACTCTTACGGGTCATTTTTGAAGTTTCTCCTTTGCAGGCATGATCCTTTTTTCTTTTTGTCCATGAAATATGGCAAGGAAGCCAAACATGTAAAGCAAATACAAGCTGAGGTGCTTGGACTGAAGAAGGAAAGACACTTGTCGCAAGCCTCCTTGCTCTCCTTCTTCTGTTTGTGTTGCCAACTTAGCTTCTACTTCCCCTCTGGCTCCTGCTTTGATGGCTCCTTTTCTCCATAGATCTAGTTCAGAGCATCCAGGAGAGAAAACTCAAGAGGCGTCGACTAGTGGGACAAGGGCCAGTCCAGGCTGTGGCTAAGTTGCTGACCTGTCTGACAGAGGCAGAAACTTCAGTCATTGTGGTCAAGGGAACAGAGTCAGATGGCAGCAAACAAACCACTTACAGACGAGGAATTTTTGTGATCATGTGTTTTGCAGAGAACATGTGGGCACAGCAGACAATTTGAGGGGCACAGACGTTCCAGAATTGTGTTCTTTGCTTGTTTTAATGAGCGGTGGTGACAGTGTTGCTTAGGAGATGTCGTTAGGAGCCCATCAGTCAGCTCTGCTCCGCTATGTCTCATACAAATCTCTACCCTTCCAGAAATCTCACTCTGCAGCGCCATTCATGAGGGGTCCAGAGTGGGTGAATATGGGTGGACCAGGGCAAATATATCACCCTTTTTAGAAGAGCAACTCAAGGAGGGGTGGGGCAATAATGTTCTTGAAAACAAAATAGCCTGATAATAACATTAAATCAAGTTGTATTGTTAATTCTGTTGCTAAGACTCTGAAAAGTCATTGCCTTCGGAGACGTAGTGACTGGGAGGGGACAGATGAGCCCCCTAAGGTGACGGAGATGCCCTCCCTATACCTACCCTGGGTGATTGTCAAACAGGCCTATCCAGATACATTTATTTAAATTCATTGAGTTAAATCCATTCCTTAATGTTTGTGCATGTTACTGTATATGTGCTATATCAGTTAAAAAGTGGAAAGATGAGCAAATAACCCCTGCGTTGCTAGCCTAATTCGCACCTGTTCGTCTGCTGGGATTTATATGTACACACTACCAATCTCTGCAAACAGCCCTGCAAGGTTAGGCACTATTTCTGTTTCCATAGGCGGAGACTCAGGTTGGAAAGTAACATCTAGCATCAAATAGCAATGGCATATCCAACCAGATGTGATTGAATTTTCTCTGGGATGTAGCGCACTTAACATTTTTCTAGCTGGATAGAAACTTCATTACAATCTAATAAAAGATTTGCTGCACTGGTGTAACCGACTCTTCTAATATGAAGAAACTGTTCCCCTCCCCTGGATAGCCTCAGCCTGTGCCCCATATTGTGAGCTTACCAGCCAGCTGAGCTCCTGGCTCTTGGATCTGTCATCCGGAAGCCCAGATGTGCAGATTCTCAGTGTTGGAAGCTACCTTAGAGACTCTAAACTCTCCCTCTTGCTCCTGACTTGGCAGGTTTGAATACGACCTTCTGGTCAATGCAGATGTGAACAGCGCCCACCACCAGCAGTGGTTCTACTTCCAGGTGGGCGGCATGAGGGCTGCTGTCCCATACCGCCTCAACATCATCAACTGTGAGAAGCCCAACAGCCAGTTCAATTATGGTATGAGCTCCTGGGGAATAAAGATAGTAACACCAGGAATTATGTCACGCGTGAGGGTGATTATCACCAGAAGCCCTGCTCGGGTTTCCAAAAGGTTTGAAGTTGGGCTGACACATTTTGGTTGCCCGGTGTGGCAAGATGGCAGCCAAGCTGTGGTTAACTACTCTCTTCCATGGAATAGAGAGGAAATTCTCTCTTTGCTGTGGGCTATTAATACTATGTATAACTTTCTACTATTTCCTGACTCCCTTGCTCCACTTTGAACTTTTTGAGCTCTGCGAGCTCTCTTTCTTATTTATTCTTTATCTTCTGAACCTCACAGTAGTAAATGTATTCACCTGTTTGTTAAGGACAGGAGAATAGCATAATCCAGTTGGACAACTGATTTACACTCTAGGAAAACTCTGGAGAGTGTTTATACTCTCTTTAATCCCTGTGGCCGTATAGGAGGAGACATTCAAGGGACAAAGATTAACTTGGTGCCCATATTTGCCTTGAAAATTTCGAGGAGCGGGGAATTCTGCATGCTCCAGCTGACTCCTGTGTTAATTTGTTGAGGGTTTAGAGTAAGGAATGAATATTCCAAGACCTCTAGGTCCAAGTATAGGGCACTGTCTCTGTTTTGCATTGGCTCATAGACTCTTGCCAGTGTAGAAAGGGAACGTGGTGGTTGACTCTTCATTCACTTTGGATGGCTTTTGCAACAAACTGTCACAAATTTTGTGGCTTAAAACAAGATAAAATATTCTCTCACATTCTGGAATCTAGAACTGCAAAAGCAGTTTCATCTGGTTAAAGTTCAGTTGTTGGCAAGGTCATGCTCTTTCAGGAGAATCTACGGGAGCTTCCATTTCATTTTTCTTTCCAGCTTTTAGAGCTACCTTCCTTGCATTCCTTGGCTCCTGGCGCCTTCCTCTCTCTTTAAAAGATGGCTGCCTTCAAGTTCCTCTCTGCTTCAGGCCTTTCTGTCTCCTCTATATTCAAATATCCCTCAGCCTCCTTCTTAGGAAGACATTTGTGGTTACATTTAGACCCTGCCAGTACAATCTCCCCATTGCAAGATCCTCATTTTAATTGCAACTACAAAATCTCTTGCTATCTAAAACAAACATTCTTGGACCCCAGGGATTAAGACCAAGATGTATTTGGGGGTGATTTCAGCCTGTTACAATCTCTTTTCTCTTTTCCTCATGATTAAGGCTCCCTTCATTTTTGTAGGGATGCAGCCAACGCTGTATTCTGTGAAGGAGGCTCTTCTTGGCAGGCCCACCTGGATACGGGCAGGCTACGACATCTGTTACTACAAGTAAGTTAGAGTTTTGTTAGCTTCCTTCTCTCCGTTCTTTCATTCTCTCCCCATTTTCTGCTTTTCTCTGTTGATCTTAGAACCTCAGCAATCTGAGCTTGTCTGTTATCGTGTGGACAATGTCCCAGTGTCCATGACGTGATCTTCAGAAGCATCAGCATATTAAGTGGCACCCACAATAGACATCAAGAAATGCCTTGTGATTTTCTGAAAAATCATCAGTCTGATTTAAATACATTAAAAAACCTGTGATTAGCGCATCAAGCTTTAATTCTTTACCTGTTTCCATTTGTCCCAGTGAACAAAAAGTCTGAGATGTTTTTGTCTATTCTTATCCATCTCATGCTTCAGTTTTCAAGTAGATGAGAGTGAATTTGTGACATGTACACTTAAAAATCAGTTCCTCCTCAACAAGATGATTTTTAGGAAAAAATAAAAATGGGAGAGTTTTCAAAATTCATTTGCAGGGCCTCCCCTGGTGGCACAGGCAGTTCAGCACAGCGCTGTGAAGCTGTTCACAGTCTCTGCAGTGCTGGTTCGATCCCGCCGGCCAGCGAGGGTCCCACATGGCGCAGCAGACCTCTCCTGTCTCGCCCGCTGCTCCCCTCAGCAGTGTATGTCGTCAGTCTGCCTGTTCTGTTCCCCGCTCTGTCTCTGGTGAGTCCTCTCACCCTCCCATACAGCTGGCCTGTACCCCGGTTCTTGTATAGATAAATAAATCTTAAAAAATAAATAAATAAAAAATAAATAAATCTTTAAAAAAATTCATTTTCAACACTTTATCAGTAACCAGGTCCATCAATTTATGCTGTAAAGTTGTAATGACATTTAAATTATTCATATCTTTTGATAAAAGAAATGGATTCTGGAAGTTGCTAATGTGTGCGTTTTCTTTTGATGGAAAAGGAAAAATTCAAATTGATTAAGAAAAGAGATAGGAATTGCTAGGACACGTAGAAAACATGTAATTAATTATTAGCTCATTGCTAGATTCTTCGAGAAAATGATAGGCTTGTACTTATTTTCTTGAAGAAACTAAGTCTTTTTTTTTCCAGGCCTCTAAAAAGAAGGCCCCTAAAAAATTATTATTTGACATTCTAGGGTATAGAATTGCTATCAATATTAAAAAAAAGAGTATATGCTCTTATGTTCTTGACTTTTGAGGCTATGAGGATGCCAGCATCGATAGATAGGAAAGGTCGAGAATTGTGTCGCTGTATCAGACACAAAGGCCAAAGTCGGCAAAAGAGATAAGGATGGTCTATAAAACCTGAGCTGGGCTAACAGCTCCGAAAAAAGAGCTGGCAGGCTTCCATTCTTACCTATTAGGATGTGGACTTGGGCAGTAGTTTCATTATGTTCTTTAGAAAAATAATGAAAGGTGACAATTTCGTGGGTTTTTCATTCACCTGTTTGGCAATTACCCTCTGGAACCCCTATCTTGAGATCCTCAGATTTTTTTTTTTTTTAAGTCTAAATCTCCAAAAAGATTTAGACTAAAAATCACCTTAAGGTAATAGAGCTCACGTCTTTAAGAAAAAAATAATAAGGACTTAAATTTGGACCTTGGTGTATCAAGAATATTTCTAGTGTCTTCTGAACATAGTAGCTCAAAATAAATGTGGAAGACCAGCTTGCAGCCCAGCTTGGCTCTGGAGCTTAGTAGGAGGTGGGGCACACTTGACACTTAGCATCCCCTCCCAATGAGCAGTTCCTCTCTCTGGAGCTGCCCCTCTTGCTGGCGGAGAGTGAAGGGCAGGTGTAGGGTACAAAGAACCTGCGAGAAGGAAAAGGAAGGAGATCCCACAAGTCCAAACGCATTGCTTGGCCTGCAGAAAGCCAGCGTTAATGTTAATAGCTTTTAGATTCATTAACAAGACAATTGTTATGTGATTAAAAAGCAACAGAGGGGTAACATGAAAACCTTGAATGTATAATGTAATTCATTTTTCACATTCCAGCCATGAATACAACAGAGATCAATGGATAAGATTGCTACATTGTAATGTAGTTTGTTTTACAATTATTCACCACATTATGTTAACACATTTCCAATAATGTGGTCTAACAACAGGCTAGTTGTGTGTAGCCCTATTCAAACACAGCTCAGAGCACCTCTCCTTCCTGTGGGGTGCTTTGGATCAGACAATGCTTTTCTGCTTTTTTAGCCATCCCTGTCTTTGCGTTGATCTGCTTTATAAGATGCCTCTGTTTCATCCGCACCTTAATGCTCTCAGGTGTATTAATTTGGGAGAATTTTCCCTCTGTATTTCCTGTCTCCAGTATATCATCGGAAACTCAGAAGTTCTGTTCTGTTATGATGTTAACTTTAGTACCACATTCTGCAGGATTCTAAAGGGGGTGCCGGGGAGTTCATTGTGAGGAAAACCACGAGTCTCAGTCCCTGCATGTACCTCTGGAAGGGAGAAAGACAAAAGGACACTCAGAGGGAAGTAGAGAGTCATTTCCTTCCCAAAGTGACAGCAGTGATGATGAGTTAGAGCTTTGTGGGTCTGATCATTACCAGTTAGAAAGTACTTTCCGCATTGTATTCATAACCTGCATGTGCTTCAATATATCTGTTTGTAAGTTAGTTTTTTTTTTTAATAATGAATCATTTTTTTTAAGACTTATTTATTTATACAAGCACTGGGTACAGTCAGAAGCGTGGGAGCCAGAGCAGGGGACAGAGCCAGAGCGGGGAACAGAACAGGCAGACTGATGAGGTACACTGCTGAGGGGAGCAGCAGGCACGGCAGGAGAGGTCTGCGCACCATGTGGGACTCTTGCCTGGCTGCCGGGGATCGAACTGGTGCTGCAGAGGCTGCAGGCAGCTTCACAGCCCAGGGCTCAACTGCTGCGCCATCAGGGGAGGCCCTTTGTAAATTAGTTTTAATCAATGACTATACTACCATATTATGTAACTAGAAAACATGCAAAAAGTTAAGAGTTTTAAATGTGAGAAAAGGATGACACAAATAATAGTTTTAAATGCTTACCTAATTGTTGGGTTTTATGCTGCTGCTGACTCAGGCAGTGCTACCTCCTTAGGGTAGGTTCGCCACGTAAGCTAGTGTTGTACATAGTCTTTGGGATAATTTTGAAAATTTTTGGTTAACTTCCCAGATCTCATTAGACTATATTTACACACATTAGAATTCTTTGAGAAAGAGCTGATGTTATAGGTCATGTCCATCCTTTCGCTTTCTTGCTCATTTGTGCTTAAAATTAAATGTTAACTTCAATATATGACTTCTAAGCAGATGAAAAGACCTGGTTGGTCTACATTGTGAGTTTTGCTAAATTTAGATAATGTAATCTGAAAATTCACTGAAGTGCCTTCTGCAGACTTCAGTACCAGAAGATAAAAGCAAAAGAATGAGGGAGGTGGTGAACCATCCCCATGCCCACTCGGGAGCCTCTACTGCCACTGATGCTGAACCACACGCCACGCAAGACCACAGATGTCTGTTGTGTGGCATTGTTCATATCCCAGCCCCAGAAAACAACAGAGAAGTGTCTGGTTTACTCTACACTTATCCATCACAGAGTGTCCAATATGGACTGTCCATATTATACTGTACACACCTTCACTTCGTTTCTATTGCCCAGAGAATAATAATTTTTAAAATTTTTTTATTTTAACATTCATCATTTTTTACAATTTTTTAGACAATATTTGCTTCCCCCCATCCCCTCAGGTGTAGTCCCCATAGAATTTCTTTCCCCAAGGCACCTGTGCACCATCACTGCAGTCCCCTGTGCGCCTCCCTCCCTCTGCTCCCTCTCCCACCTTCTCCCCTGCAGGATGTCTCTGGTTTATAATTGTCTGTTTTTGCTTTGTTGTGTTTTGTACTGTTATTTTTTTTTTTTACACTGATGTCTTATTTGGTTCCCCTATATTCCTGCTATAAGTGAAACCATCCAATACTTTTCTTTTTCCTTTTGGCTTATTTCACTGAGTATAATTCCTTCAAGCTCCATCCACGTTGCTGCAAATGGCATGTGTTTATCTTTTTTGATTGCTGGGTAATATTCCATGGTGTATATGGACCACATCTTCTTGATCCAGTCATCTGTTTTTGGGCATTTGAGTTGTTTCCAGGTTTTACCTATTATAAATAGTGCTGCAATAAACATAGGGGTACAGGTGCTCTTTTGAATCACTGTTTTTGTGTCCTTTGGGTAGATCCCCAGTAGTGGAATTGCCGGATCATATGGTAGCTCCATTTTTAGTAGACTGAGGAACGTCCAGACAGCTTCCCACAGTAGTTGGACCAGTTTGCACTCCCACCAGCAGTGTAGGAGAGTTCCTTTTTCACTGCATCCTCTCCAAGAGTATAATAAACTTAAGGAGCCATTCTAATAAGCTCTCCCTGAGCTTTTGGGCTCTTGGCCGTTGCGCTGAAGCACCCCTCTGCCCTCCACCTTACAGAGCACTAGGACAGAAAATAAAAAGTGATCTTGCAGAGGGAGGAACAAGAGTCGGTAGCTCGTTTTTCCATGCCTCTCACAAAAGTAAGCAAGGCCAGTTTTAGTTTCCACTTTATTTACATCCTCGCAGTCTGCTTGCCCTGCTCACATCCACAGCCCCGCACCTTGCAGAAATCTCTCCCAGCGCTGGTCTAAAGCAATTTTTGTGCTGAAGGGCAGAGGGAGGGAAGCCGCGCTCAGAGTGCCCATGTAATACACAGCGGCTGATCTCTTCTGACATTTATCTCTGCTCGCGAGCGGAGATGGAACAGCTCACTCATGAAGACGAATGTCGTACAGGAGCTCTGCCAGCGTGCGTCCTGCCGAGGGATCTCAGGAGGGAGATTTGGTGTTAGAGAGAATATTAGAAACGCGCAGACACGGGGAAGCCAGGCGACTCGGCTGCTCTGCCTTATTAGATCCTGTTAAGTGAAATGATGCGCCCTTGTTAAATAGAGCCATCGCCATTATAAGATTATCTTATTCACTCTCCATCTTGGCATTTGCTTATTTCAGGCACACGCAGAAAAAAAAAAAATGACTTCCCAGCATATTTTTTACGTACAAATGGAAATAGATAGAATTCATAACTATGCATTTGTGTACTTTGTGCCTTGCTTCATTGAAAGGGCTTTGTGATTATAAAAGCGCAGATCCTGTCAAAGATAAATGGTCAGGGAGCGGCAAAGCAAAAGGAGCCCACTGAGTGTGGGGTGCCTGCTGCATCCGACCCGGCCGTCTGTGACCTGCGAGGACTGTCCAGGATCTGGCAGATCCGAGAGGACACTTGACTCTCTCCGGGTGCCCCAGGGCAGACTGAGGAGAGACAGTTCTTGGAATTAATCCTCTACCCCTCATTGATGGTGTGACCTTGGACAAATTATTCCCACCTCTTTCCATCTTAGATTTCCTTTTTTTTTTAAGATTTATTTATTTATTTATTCAGGCACCGGGTACAGTCAGAAGTGCGGGAGGGTGAGAGAATTCACCAGAGCCAGAATGGGGAACAGAACAGGCAGACTGATGAGGTACACTGCTGAGGGGAGCAGCGGGTGCAGCAGGAGAGGTCTGCTCGCCATGTGGGACCCTCGCTGGCGCCCAGGGATCGAACCAGTGCTGCAGAGGCTGCGGGCAGCATCGCAACCCAGCGCTCAACCACTGCGCCACCGGGGAGGCCCTCCATCTTAGATTTCTTACCTCTAGAATGGGGATAAGAAAAATATCTACCTGAAGATTAAATGAAATGAAATAAAGCATGTAAAAAACCTTGAACAGTGTCCTGTGCAGGGCAGATGTTTGATGAATGTCAGCAATTACCATTAATTATTAGGAGAAACATCTTAGTGGTTGCAAATACCAATGGCATAAACAACCAGTGATACGGATCATTTTCAGGAGTCTCAATGGTCTGTTTTACATTCCTTCTGCTATTTCAGACTCTTAAGTTTGTAGGCGGCCTGATTTATAATGACCAAAACTTCAAATTCTTACTTGCTGAATAGAATCCAAAGACCTTATGTCCTTTCATCCATTCCTGAGAGACAGGACATGTAATGAGAAGAATCTTGGTTCTGAGTAAGCCTGGATTTGGGGCTGAAGCCTGCCTAGTTTGCTTGTTATATGCTGTTCAGGAGACATTTCCCTGCCTGGAAAGTGCTTGTAAGAATATGTACCTTGAAAGTGTATTGTTATGATTAGAGAGGTAGAATATATTAAGCATCTTAATTATTATTCCTGAAATCTCAGGTCCATGTACGCTACAGTTTTTAACTGAACAGCTGCTTAGTACTGTGCCAAGCATGAAGAGACACAAATGAATCAGCATTAATTCCTTCCCTCAAGTGTTAGCAGGGGGGAAGGCAGTGTGATTGGAATTATGTAAAAGGGTGGCAATCAGGGAAGACTTCCTGGAAGAAGAAACACTTGAGTCTTCAAGGAAGAAGAGGAGATGGCTGAATGAGGAAGATTTCTCATGCAGAGGAAGATTTCTCATGCAAAGGAGGAACGTGGGGTCACTTAAAATATGAAGGCTGAATGTCTCTGCCTTGCAAACATCCCTCAACAGATTCATATCATCATCGGGAAATCAAATGTGTTGACGGGCTCACTGTGACTTTGTTATGGACAAATGGAATTGTAGTGAGTCGAGGTTTTGCTTTGGGGATTCATCAAACATTTCAATAGGAAGAAGAAGATCTTGGGAGAGTCTCACTGCAGGTAGAGTCCTCTCCTGGCCCCTCCCGCTGCAATACAGCTGCCAGATGTCAGCAGGGTCACCTACCATTTGCTTTCGGTTGGTTCAGCCAGAGTTTAGACCCAGATGAGGGTTGTAACTGATCTGCTTGGCTAAAATCATCCCTAATGAAGCGATCAATTTGTCTTAAATTCCAGCATTCTACAACTGACCTGAGAGGGATTGGCTTATCAGTGGGGAGCTTTTAATCTTGCCCACCAAGGGACAGCATGTGTGTGTGTGTGTGCGTACATGCACGCATGTGTGCGTTGGTGGTATGAGAAGGTAGATATCATGTAGCCAAAAGTACCATTCAGATCCCTTATACTTCCCTTACAGGATGGAACCTGGGCTCACAGAAGCTTCTTTTTCTTTGTCAATGGCAGCTCTTCCTCCCTGAGCGTGCAGGTTTGGTTGGCGTGGAGGAAAGATCTCCAGGGCAGGCACTGTGCAGCTCGCTCCCTCGTTCCTCCTGGCGCTGCCCTGGGGTCCAGTGGCCAGGCTGAGCTTACTTAGCTTGGGAGTGCCCGGGATGGGACTTGGGCTTCCTGAATGGCACCGTGGGAAACCTAAAAAGAAGTGAGGCTCATGTCAACGAGACCACCCCATCAATCCTTAGCGGCATCTGCTATTGTTGAGGGAAGATCTGGGCTCTGAATTCACTCTCTGCAGCTGAAGAACACGGGGATGTTCAGGCACTTGATGTGTCTGCTTGCCTGTGCATTCACGAATACGTGTGTGTTCAAGTGCTCACACACATGCCCCTGGTGATCCTCTCTTTGCTTGTCAACATTCCCACCACGCTGGCCACCTTGCTGCACTTCAGCTGGCCTTTCCGGCTGGGGAGAGGGTAACTGAGCAGCAACTGCTGTTCTACGGGGTTTAAATAGGATGTGTATTTGCTGGGGAGTCTTCCAGTGAGATAGAAAGAGAATAAGATGCAGCGCATGTGTGCCCTGCTTGCTTTCTGAGACACCATCTGCTTCTTTACCTACTGTTTAATAACCAGAGGCTTAGTTCTGGAGAAACTACAGAACTTTGGGGAAATCTGGAGAAAGTAGACCCAATTAGATGTCAAGAGCCAGATGGCATGGGGGTGAAGATGCTCTTTGGATGTTTCTAATCCTGTAGCCACCAAGTAAATGGGTCCACTAACGTAAGGCTAGAAAGCGGTGTGTGGAGATGAGGGTGGGCAGGTGCTCAGTGTAGGGTAAATGGTTTTCAGGCTTTTCTGCCCTCTGCCATTAGGATTGCCCTGCCTGAGGGGGCACCTGCAGTTGTTACATTGTTATAAGTTGTGTTGTTTACTTCTGTGGGCCATGACAGCAGTATGGAGATACTGCCAAGAGAAGCTCTGCAGGAGAAAGAGGCAGGAGAGAGAAGGGGAGAAAGAAGCCCAGAGAAACCCAGATTGAAGACTTGCGGGGGGCTTGGAGGCCTGCTGGCCTAATGGCCCCCTGGCACCCCTGCCTGCCATGTACCTGGTTGCTGCACTCACATAAAAGCTCAATAAAAGCCTGAGAAGCGACCGAGGGCTCCAGAACTCTCCTTTACCCGTCTGCAGGATCTCAGAACCAGCTCTGTGCCCTTCCTGGCATTATACTCAGCCTTCCCTCAGGTGACCTGGCTGCTGGGTGGCAGAAGCAGAAGCCTGAGCAATCTACCAGTTCCTGGGGATCTTTGTCTCTCACCCCATCCCCAGTTGGTATTTTATAAATATCCAAACCTCACAAAATAAGGCTTTGAATTTTGTATTTTTCCTTTCTGGCTTGCTTGATTTGTTTTTTTTTTTTTTTTCTTTTTTCCCCTGTGGTCGGGGGTGGCATAAAGGTAGCAAACAGGCAGCAAAGAAAAATCCACGCTTCTCATAGTTTGCAAGAACGCACAGTAATTATCTGCTCTATCTTCCCTCTCCCTCAATAAAACTCCAAAGCACGGTGGACAAGAGCCAGCCTTGTGAGGATTCAAGTTGCACCCCCTGGGCCTGGTGTCTTCCGCAATAGAATGCAACCATTGGGGTGTCTCTTAGGGAAGCAGCCTTGCTGGCTCCGCGTCCACAGGCAAGGCGGGCGCGTGACCACAGGGCTGGGAAAATCTCGCCTGGAATGTCCTTCTGGGTGCAATTTACTTTGATACTGTTCTCTGAAGTATCAAAATTGGTTCTTCATCTTTGATGAGGGAAAATGTGCACTCCAGTTACAAGAAGCCAAACCACATTTGGGGGACAAATGCGTTCTTTGGGGAGGAAGTGCCGCAGAGTGGGAAGAGCAAAGGCTTTGCAGTCAGGTCTGGGTCCGAGTCCTCTGTGGCGACCGCCTAGCCTGGCGACCTTTGACAAGTCAGTCTGTCTGCGCTGTTGCTTCTGACTCACACAATGACAGGTGCACTGATCTTCCCCATAACCCTCTTGGCAGGTGGGAAGGGAAGGAGGCGATGTGATAGCAAGGGGGCGGGGTTGGAGGAACCCAAATTGGGGCAATACGGTGCTTTTCTGCAATAGAACCCCAGAAAAAGCCAGAATCACTCCCATTTCTTCTATTTTCCAGCTCAGCGACTCTGCTCTGTGGCTTTCATTTTCACCCAGATGCCTGGGCCTCTGTGTCACACGGGAGGCGCTGGGGGCACCAACCTGCACTGTGCAAATTCCCTCACGACCTCTCTTGTCCCTGTCGCTGTTTTCTGTTTCACCCCCACAGTGTCTGGGGGGATGAACACTTTGTCAGTACCTAACACATGGGGTCTTCAGCGTCCAGGACCCTAAGGGAAACTTCCCCCCAACGCCCCCTCATTCTCTTCTCGTCTCCTTTCTGTTCTAGAAACCACTATCGCCAGAGCGCAGCCGCCACCGGGGGAGCATCTGGGAAGTGTTATTACACCCTGACCTTTGGCGTCACCTTCCCGCACAGTGGGGACATCTGCTACCTGGCCTACCACTACCCCTACACTTATTCAGCCCTCACGGTAACGCCCTCTCTCCACCACTGCCACTCCTGAGAGCCCCCCTGCAGGCCCGGCCATGCTGTGGGCAGCGCCCTGCCTTCCCTAGTGAGCCCGGGCTTGGGGTGGCTGACTGGGCTTTGCCTTTGTCCTTCTCCTTCCCTGGACAGGCCACAAGGCTGAGGTCATAGCCAGGGGCTTCTGAAGTCTCAGACACTCTCGGGTTTCCTCACCTCAGGGTGGGTGTAGCAGGTAGGGCATGGTCGGGCCTCTGCCTTCTACTTTTTTTAGTCCTTTTATTGATGCAACAGGATTGATAACATGTCTCGGGTGTCCATCCCTATAAACCAGCACATGCATCTGCTGCGGTCTGCTCTCCACTGGAGGTCCAGTCCTATCCTCACCACACACCCCATCCCTTTATCAGACCACCCGTGTCTCACTCTTCACTCTGGTAACCACAGTTTGGTCTTAGCGTCTAAATGTTCGTTTGTGTTTTATCTAGTTCATTTGTTTGGTTTTCTGTTCCCCATGTGTGAGTGAAATCACAGTGTCTTCCTCCGTCTGGCTTATCTCACTTTGCATGATACCCTCCAGGTCCGCCCACACTGTTGCAAATGGCTGCATCCATCTTCTTGAAATAGCTGAGTGAGTCCCCCTCCTCAGAGGATGGGCATTCAGGTTGATTCCAGATCTTGACTATTGTGAACGATGCTGCAGTGAATGTGTGGGGGGGAGGGTGAAGATACCTCTTTTTGACTTAGTCTTTTCATATTCTTCGGGAAAATTCCCAGAAGTGGGCTGGTTGCCTCACATGGAATGTCCATTTTGAATCTGTTGAGTCTTCTCCAGGCTGCCTCCACGGGCTGTGTCCCTCCACACCCCACCACTGTGTACCAGGCTCCGTCTCCTATATCCTCTATAGCATTTGTTGTTTCTTGCCCTTTGATCATTCGATGGGTCTGACTTTAAAAGGCCTTGAAATTATGCATGAAATGGTTAAGACTGGGGAGCGATTCTCTAGTTGAAATGGGGTAAACCATGTGGGTAAGCTGGGGTGCATATTCATAGGACATCGATGCTTTGAAGGGAGTGGGCAAAAGATGAAGTTTGGAAAAATTTCCCTGAGTCCATGAGCAAGTGGCCACTGGGGCTTTTCCAGAGGTTTCCATGGAGATGGGCTGGAGGCCGCTAGGGGGATTGAGGTTGGACAAGAAGAGTGGCAGAATAACACTGAATCATGGCAAGTAAGGGCCATGAGCGCTTCACGAGAGCAGCACAGCAGAAGTTGGGCCAGGCTGGAAGCTTGCAGGCTTATATTCTGGTTGGCCCTGCAAATAGACAAAAACCAGGCAAAGTGAAGCAAACTGCTCCAACTCTGCAGTTTTCTGTCACTTGAAGAAGTTGGCTAACTTTCCCTTTTCCCTGGCTATTTCCTGGCTATTTTGAGGATTAAAAATCTCAGCTTTCTTCTAGTTAGCACTTTTGTCCTGTGTGCTAATGCAAAATGTTGTTCGTATATTTACAATAACAGGTGCCTGTATGAGTGTATTTAACGCTTTGCCTGAAGGAAGAGCTTTATTATGTGAAGTCTGTGATAAGGAGTTGGAAAAGATAATTACTCAGAACCTCTTTCCCTCCAAAAGGGATGTTCAGGTACACACGAGAATTTTTCTCCATTGAGGAGGCATATCTTAAGCCACGTGGCTAACTGCTGGGGGAAAATGCATCTGTCCTTTCCTCCAGATGCTGTCTTGCCTAAGGAGAGATTTTCACTGTTTTCCAGATTGCAAAAGATACACAACTAGTATTATTTGTGTATCATGCTTAGAAATCTCAAGAAGTTAATCCAAGCAGCACGCGTCACAAGCTCTGTGGTAACAAGCCCTGTTGTCATAAAACATGTCTGCTGCCTGGAGGGACCCAGCATGGGGAAGATTCACGGCCCCACAGCAGCTGGTTTATTGTCTCGCCTGTGGAATATTGCACGTGTGATGTCTCCTGGGAATTTTTTTTGGAAGGCACGTTTGCCTTTTCCTTTGGGGTGATGATCCATGGGCCCAGGACACTATTCTTTTCATTGGTTAGAATATCTTAGGCCTTAGACTATCTTAGACCTTGCTGAGATTCTCAGTGGCTAGTAGTATAAAACGGTAGAAATCAAAAGAGCTTAGGAAATGGTCTAATTCACCCTGGTCAGTCATTGATGCCAAAGCTGGGGTCTGGAGAGCCCACATCTAGCTAGTCACCAAGCAGGGACTGAGGCTGGTCTATGATGTCCATTCTGGGCCCTTTTTACTTCTCTCTAGAAAGATGTGGAAGGAACTGAGGAGTCCTGGCCTGGCCTCAGAGCCACGTCCTTGCTGGCTGTGACGTATAATAACTGTTAAAACCGTTGTCAGCCTTGGTAGGCATGGGGAGTCGTCAAGCCATCCCTGATGGCTGAGTGTCCTTACCATAATGCTGGACACTGTGGCTGGGAGTCAGCAGATGATGGGATTGCTCACCAACCACAGACCCGTCTTCACCCGGCGAGGGGCTGATGAGTTCTTGTTGGGTGCCCAAGAGCTGATTCAAAGTCTGAAATTCAACGTGAAAAGCCAGTTGCAGCCGAGGCCTGGCCGTGGGAGTTTCACACTTTGAATCAGCTTCTCATCCTAAATGAGTAGCACAGAATAAGAAAGATAATTTGTCATTTGAAAGCGAGAAACATAGATACTCAATTTTAGGTTTCACATTTCCAAAAACACATGGTCCTCTCTAGGTTTAAGCCAGTGATTGACTCTGTGACTTGTCTTAAAAAAACTCTTCCTCCCAACATGGACAGAATGAGTACACTCTGTAATGCATACTAGTCATTTTTTTTTTTTTTTTGGACATGTCTTAAGCAGAAACAGTTTTTCTTCCAGCAGATCAGTGATAAATTAAATGTGAATGATACCCCCAGGGCAGAATTAACTGTAGGTTACTTGGGCTTTATGCTGAGGGGTGGAAAATACATTTCTACGTGGAATTCACAATTTGTAAATCTCTTGTAATATGGATTATATTTAATGATTACAGACATTTTTATAGCAGACGACATGTACATTGGCTGTTTTTCAACACAAATATAATTTTGCAACTTTAAAAAATCTTATTATTCTCTTATAATAAGAGAATTAGTATTTGGTCCTTTCAAATTGATATCTTCCTGATGCTTGCCAGGAACTCTGTTGGATAATTGTCCAAATTATAGTATTAAACTAAAGCTAAAGGAAGAAATACAATGTTATTATAATTATGAAGCAAGGAAAAGGAATTCTCTTTTAATCATTTCTATCAAGCCATCAATAATTACAGTGGTTGTTAAAGTATTATATTAGCAATACTTGTTAAAGTCTTCGGCTTATTTTGTGGATTGCCAATAGCAGTGGTTGAGAGTGGGGTCCCAAGAGAATTTCCAATAAACATTTTAAAGGGTATGAAAATGGAATCTCATTGAGAACTTAGAACTGCCTGAATTGGCAAGAGACTAGACAGTGGGATTATGCACAGTAGAATCCAAATGTTGGGAGAGTTCAAGACTTTAAAGAAATAGAGCGGGTTTTTTCACCAGACACATCTCTCAAGATGATGGTGGATACTTCTGCCATCATCTTTAGAGATGAAATGGAGTAAGGTAAGGTATAGGGAGATCAAGGGAGAGAGAGAAAAGAGAGAACTAGAATACCATTGCACAATCTCTATATTCTAAGAGTTTAAAACATGTCAAGTGCGAAACGTTGACTCACACGTGGCAGAGCAGAGATGCTGCGGGCAGGTCCCACGTCGGTGCTCCCAGGCTATCCACAGGCAGAGGCTGCCTTCGGAGGGGTGCCCCAAAGGGCAGGCACCAACCGAGGGTCCTGGTGTGGGAGAGTTGAATGTGAAAGGGAAAGGCGTCAGCATCAGGAGAGATGGCGCCATCGACCCCAAGACCTCCCGGGCCTATAGTACAACAATGCAGGAACACGAGCTAGGGCCAGACAGGCCACTGAGAGCCGTGGGAGACGTGGCGTGAACAGCGATGGGCTACGGAACATGAGCTTCAGCTGGGAGATATTAGGCATTTATTGAGCTGTGATACTATTGATCATAAAAACTTGAAGCTGGGCTCTGTGTCTTCTTGAGGTGTGGTCTTGGGCAAACGATGTAACTGCTCTCAGCCTCGGTTTTTATCTGTAAAACTGGGAGCCTAAAAGCAGTTCCCGTCGGGGGTTATGAAGATGAAGCACTTGACTGGTGGGAGAAGTTAGCCAGGTTCCTCTGTCTAGTAAGCGGTGCTGGACAGTCACCAGCAGGGCTTTGAATAGCTCTTGTATCATGATATTTGATTATTTTATGTGCCCATTCCACAGCTTCTAATACAATTAAAATTATGTTAAAACATCCATCTAAGGGACCTAAAAAGAAGTAAACACAAAGGCCTCTGCTGCTTTTCTAAGGGTGATTGCTTAGAATAATTTTTTTCTTTACTCTGTTCCAAATCATCAACAGTATAATTTTGTTATTTTTTAATGGAAAAAGGATAGTAAAATGATCTTTTCTATTTAACTGGCAAATCTGTGAGCAGGCAGCAGGAGACGAGTCATTTCTCACTCTGAAAATAAGACCCCTCGCTGGGCGAGAGGGACAGGCTGACGGGGCTGGTTAGAACCTGCTTATAGCGCATTCTTGCTGCTCGGAGCCTAAAGGTGTCGTTTGTTCTCCTGTGGTGAGAAGCCCCCGGTTCTCTGATGAGTGTGTTTAAATGGCCACCGAGAAGCAGGCCGTGCACAAGACAAGAGGCTCCCTCCTCGGGACCGATGTTCTCCCAGGTGGGGGCAAACAGCACAGCCCTTCAGCGAGGACAGGACCGTCAGGAGCGAATTCTCAGAGGACAGTGCTTGGCTCCATGTCAGTAGCCACCAGCAGGGGCATCTGCTGAGGTCAAGGAAAGTTTTTGAGGGAAGTTTTTTTTTTTTTTTTTAATTTTTAAAAATAAATTTAGTTCTTTTCTTTTT